GCTGGAGTGCAATGGTGCGATCTCGGCTCACTGCAACCTCCACCTCCTGGGTTCAAGCAATTCTCCTGCCGCAGCCTTCCGAGTAGCTGGGATTACAGGCATGCACCACCACGCCCAGATAATTTTTGTATTTTTAGTAGAGACAGCGTTTCACCATGTTGGCCAGGATGGTTTTGATCTCTTGACCTCGTGATCTGCCCACCTCGGCCTCCCAAAGTGCTAGGATTACAGGCATAAGCCACTGCACCCGGCCTGTCATCTTTTAATTTATATTTCTTTTTCTTTTTTTTTTTTTAAGATGGGGTTTCGCTCTTTGTTGCCCAGGGTGGAGTGCAGTGGCGTGATCTTGACTCACTGCAACCTCTGCCTCCCGGGTTCGAGTGACTCTCCTGTCTCAGCCTCCTGAGTAGCTGGGATTACAGGCCACCACACCCAGCTAATTTTTGTACTTTTAGTAGAGATGGGGTTTCACCATGTTGGTTAGGCTGGTCTTGAACTCCTGACTTCAGGTGATCCGCCTGCCACAGCCTCCGAAAATGCTGGGATTATAGGTGTGAGCCACCGTGCCCGGCCATAATTTACATTTCAAATTATTGATATCCCTGTTATTTTTGCTGGGAGTACACAGCTGGCTCCTATCAGGCCAGTGCTCTGAGGGCCGGTGGCATCCCCACTTTTAGAACTCTGCTGTCTCCTTCAATACTGCTGTCCGGCTTTTCTGAACCGATAGCTTCTCCAAATCTTTGTACTGTCCTTTCATACCAGATCTCTTGTTTTTGTACACTTTCCTAATCATACCCTCATAGTAGAAATTTCTCAGTTCATTCCCATCTTTTCCTTGTCTCTTCTATTTGACCTGAGGTATTTGCCAGTCTTCCTTCTTCCAACATGTTTTCTGAGAACCACAGAACCATAGAATGTCATGGTTGGAAAGCAACTCGAAGTTCACCATTTTGCTAAAGAGACATAGCATGAGAGTGACTTCTGTAAGATCACAGCATGCTTTGCAATCTAGTCTGTTGCTTTCCACTGGCCCTTCTGACTTGGCTGTGCTGGCTCAATATCTTTTTTCCACCCTCCTCCACTGACCATCTTTTTTTTCCTTGTTTTTCTATCCTGAAGATCCAATTGCTCTATTTCTTATTTTGCCCTTGTTCTCAATGTGTCATCTCATTTCTTAACCATAATGTGACTTTTTTTCAGGTATATAAGCTCTTTATGATTCTGTTTCTTTAACAGGAAAAGAAATGAGTAAAAGTTTTCTTGTTTCTTTTGGCAGCAGGTAGGAACATGATGGAGTGTTCGGAGTTGACTCTGAAGCAGGAAATTTTTAAAGGATCAGAGTCATCTAATAGGACCTCAGGGGGACTCTTTGGGGTGGTTCCTGGGGGAACAGAGACTGGAGATGTTTCTGAAGATACTTTGAAAGAGTTAGAAGGACAAACCTCAAATGAAGAAAGGAGCAGACTAGAAAATGATTTCTTGGAAATAACAGATGAGGTTAAGAAAAAATCCATAAAAGACAGATATGAGGAATATAAGGAAGTTGGGGAACATCCACATCTATCTTCCAGTCCTCCTGAACATGAAGGAGTTTTAAAGGGACAGAAATCCTATCAGTGTGATGAATGTGGCAAAGCTTTTTATTGGAGTTCACACCTCATTGGTCATCAGAGAATCCATACTGGAGAGAAACCCTATGAGTGTAACGAGTGTGGGAAGACCTTCAGGCAAACCTCTCAGCTCATTGTTCATCTCAGAACCCACACGGGGGAAAAACCCTATGAATGCAGCGAGTGTGGAAAGGCCTATAGGCACAGCTCCCATCTCATTCAACACCAGAGACTCCATAATGGGGAGAAACCCTATAAATGTAATGAATGTGCAAAAGCTTTTAATCAGAGCTCCAAACTCTTTGACCACCAGAGAATCCATACTGGGGAGAAACCTTATGAGTGTAAGGAATGTGGGGCAGCCTTTAGTCGGAGTAAGAATCTTGTTCGACATCAGGTTCTGCACACTGGTAAGAAACCTTACAAATGTAATGAGTGTGGGAGAACGTTCTGTTCCAATAGAAATCTCATTGACCATCAGAGAACCCACAGTGGGGAGAAGCCTTATGAGTGTAGTGAATGTGGCAAAGCCTTCAGTCGGAGTAAATGTCTTATTCGACATCAGAGCCTCCACACTGGGGAAAAGCCATACAAATGTAGTGAATGTGGGAAAGCCTTCAATCAGATCTCTCAGCTCATTGACCATGAGCGAATTCATACTGGAGAAAAACCATTTAAATGTAGTGAGTGTGGTAAGGCATTCAGTCTGAGTAAATGCCTTGTTCGGCACCAGAGACTTCACACCGGTGAAAAGCCCTATAAATGCAATGAGTGTGGAAAATCCTTCAATCAAAACTCATACCTCATTATACACCAGAGAACTCACACTGGTGAAAAACCCTATGAATGTAATGAGTGTGGGAAGGTCTTCAGTTATAATTCTAGTCTTACGGTACATCAGAGAACCCATACTGGGGAAAAACCCTATAAATGCAATGGTTGTGGGAAAGCTTTTAGTGACAGCTCACAGCTTACCGTGCACCAAAGAGTTCACACCAGAGAGAAACCTTATGAATGTATTGAGTGTGGGAAGGCCTTTAGTCAGCGTTCCACTTTTAATCATCACCAGCGAACTCATACTGGAGAGAAGCCCTCAGGGGTGGGTTGGTCATCTTCTTAAGGCATGGTTCTCTGAGACAGAGAGCAAGGACGTTTTGAGTTAAGCTTTCTTTATAAGAAGGATGCTCATCTTGGTCTCTGAAGACCACATCACAGTGGACCATACCCTACTTGCTTTTCCTTGGGTCACTAAGGTGGGACAGTAGGTGTAACTTAGCCTGATCCTTACTTAGTAGTAGGAAATTAAGGATTACATATGTCATTTACTTGTGGGTTTCCTTCTTTCTCTTAAAAAAAATATTTAAAAATCCGTCTTGTTAGTATGCATTCCACAATCAGATTCTGCATTTCTCAAGAACAGCAGTTATATTATCTTTATTTTATTGCAGTTCCTCCACTGAACCATTTACGTAAAGTCATTTTTTAAGTCAGTCTACTATATTATTCATCCCTGCTCATTGCTGTCTCCTTCCACAGCTACTTTTAAAATTTGTACTGTAAGCTACATCCTGTCATCATTTGTATGTTTTCTGGCTAGGAAACTTTTTCTTTTTGTTTGCTAATTACTTCTTTCACAATATTCAAGATTTATACCATCTCTGAAAGACTTTCTTCTTCAGATAGTTGTTTCTTTTATACTTCCATTGATTTGGCCTTAATGCTTTAAATTAGCTGGTACTACAGTGTATAACTGTTAAATGTTTTGTAAATTGTTCTCAACTTACAATGTCATATGCGTATCACATATATCCAAAGTATACTCACATATAGTTGTGTATGTGTAGACCTTTTCTTTTCTTTTCTCTTTTCTTTTCTTTCCTTTCCTTTTCTCTTTCCTTTCCTTTTCTTTTTCTTTCTTTTTCTTTCTTTTCTGTCAGAGTCTTGCTCTTGTTGTCCAGGCTGGAGTGCAATGGCACAGTCTCAGCTCACTGCAACCCC